CTCAGGAAGAGTTCAGAAATCATTATATGGTGAATAACCATGAGGCTTTCATTGGGGTTCAGTGCAGTGGTCTTATAAGTTGATTAAGAAATTGCATGTAAATTAGGGAGGATGGATGAATGCATAGTTTTATTTTTCTTTTAGCAAATAAAATTCTGAAAATCCTTGTGAGGTTTTGTTTATCTCATTATAAAAAAACAGTTGTTGGCTTTTATAAAGAAGTGACAAGAAGATGACTACAGTTTGAAGAAAGTCATTAAAACAGTTCCCTTTGACGTTGGCCACAAGCCATGGAAGGGATCGGAAAAACGTCAAAGAAGATGCAAACAAATGAAATTAGTTAATGGCAGGAATATCTCATACAATCCAGATGAAACAATACTAAAATCAAACAGTGTTTTGTTAGGTTACTGGGTAGGCATCTTAAGATGTTTCATAACACTCAGCAATATATTTATTGCACCTAATGACTCCGCCGAAAACTAATTTCCTCTGTTTCAACTTGCGTTCCGTCATGTGTAGAACATGCTTCCAGTTTTCTCTTTATTTCCCGCACTAATGCTTTCTTCCATTAGAGCATTAACAAGCCAGAATAATTTCTCAGCGGACTAATTTTGGAGACGCCTTGGCTAACCCTCGAGGGCCTGCCTTCCCAGAACCAGAGAGCACACATTAAATTTAAGCTCCGCTGCAGGGAACGCATCTTACTACATCTCATCTGGTAAAGAACAGAGGAAGACGGTGGAGACGTGCAAGTTCAAGCTGTCAAGGCAGGGAAGTAGATGGAAATTTATGTGTCACACCTTCACATCTTCTCAACATTTTAAAAAATCCCTGTAATCCATGTAAAATCCTGAGTAGGTCACTTATTTGCATGTATGTAGACAGCTAATTAAATGGGGGGTCTAGGCTACGCTAGAAAGCTCTATACGTTTTCTAGACGGACTTCTGGACTCTGAGGTCATTAACAATTCGGCTTTTAAGCTGTTTTCATAGTCAGGTGTTGTGAGTGCAACTATTATTGAAAATTCACTCATCAGTCGCAAAAATTTCACGTGGACTTGCAATTTTCACCAGTCATCGCAACTTTTCCGCAAATTTGACCAATGGCCTTAACGTTCTTTGTATTTCCTTCTTTTCTGACCAGTCACTGAAACACGACTGGATCACTCTTTTTTCCTGTTTCATTTGAACTTTTCTCAGGTGCTACTGCTCTTTAGTCGGTTATAAATCATGTACCGTCATTTTCCGATTTCTAGGACTGCACAGTCTCATGTTCAGCGACTAGCTTGAGCTGAGAGGCAAAAAAAAAATAAATAAATAAACGTTGAAGTTTTCTTCCAAACAAGTATTTCATTTGAAGCTGGTTAAGGAGAATACTAATGTTGTTGTTGTTACCTATTTCACATCCCTTTCTACTTAGTCAATGGCAGGAATAAATCCAATCATTAACTTATGTTTACGATCAATAAAGGCCTTCCACGATCAAGTGTTGCTTACTGTGACAATTATGCGTATTTACTTAATGCAAAATGATTTTCTCCACAACTGGAACAAAGTCTTTTCATGTGAAATTAAATCAGAAGCAACGTCTAGAAGAAAAAAAAAACCCAATAAATGACAGTGGCATAAAACAGGGCGACCCAAAGCAACGGTACTAACATCCATTTGATGGTTGGGAGAACAAGTCTGCCGTTTACAGGAGCTTGACATGGCCTTGTCACCAGGCAACGCCACACACAGAAGCCTCCAAATTAGTTAAGCATGAATGGATAGATGAGCAATTCCCAAAACAAGGCTTTCTGTTTGGCAGTGCATTTTAAATGCTGGAAGATAGGATGGAGCGAAAACAGGGCAAGGAAATATTACATAAATGCGTCGTTCATGATGAATTATTTAAAAAAAAAAAACAACAAACACTGATTACATGTTAGGATATGTGCGGGCAAGAAGGACAGGAATCCTCCGGGAACATCTGGCTAAGAGTGTTGTTAGTTATTTCACTTTTTATCTGTATTCTGTGTTGCGCTCAATTCTTCCGGATGATTGATTAAAATCGCAAAACAAGCATGTTTATTTACAGCAGTGTGTTTAAGTGCATATCCAACTGGCTCTTCCTTGAGACACGTGAAACACTTGCATACTCAATGAGAAAGAAAAAAATCCTGCGCTCTATTAACCTTGCAATGCAGACATGTAAAAGCAGCTCTGTGGAAACCAGACCTTCCTCTGACAAAAGAAGAATTTAAACAATGAAACAGCAAACATCTAAAGGCTTTGCAATAAAAAGAAATCTTGTACAGATGTTAGAGATCCACCCAGTCAGAATCCTGAGGCTTATTTCCAATCTTTGGATTTTGCAAATCTTTGACTGATCAAAACTGACTTCATCCAATTAGAACCGTAATCTAAAGAGATATAGTCAGGCCATTTTTAATACCGTAGGGGAAAAAGAAACATAAATTTCTGCATTGCATTTCATGTTTCATACCAGGGTAGGTTGCCATGGTTTCTGATCATTTTCTATTTGGCATTTGCAATCCAGTATTTGTAAGGATAAATTGTAAAAAACCTGCTAAATACGTTTATCAATGTTGACATGTGTAGCACTTATAACATTCCTTCCACACACATAGATGCTTTTTTTTTTTACTATTATTATTCATCAAATTGGCAAAGCACTTTACTACTAATTGCAACTTATTACTCTTCTGTTGTAGACATTGGAGCTTTACTGACCATTTTATATTCCTCATAACAATCAATTTGTTTGTCTCTAAGCTGCCTTGCCAACATGTCTTTATGGAAACCACTCAGCCCTGGCATAAAGGCTTATTGACATACTTTGGATTTTCTTATTTGTCTACCTTGATGGGTGAAATGCTTTATCATATTTTTCTCTCCAGATGTATTTGACATTTTACTAGAGCTCTAAACTTCCAGCACCAGATTACTGTTCTATGTTTTCTCTCATTGTTCTTGTAAGACAGGCTGAGTATCTGTGTGTCTTTAGTGCTGCTGTGCACAAGTGTTGGCCAACTTTGGAGGATGAAAACATTCAGGTTGCTTCGATTTCGGTGCTTTTGGATGTCAAACCCCAGTGGGAGCAAAAAAAGTCAACATCACTGTGAGAGAGAGCGGTTTTGCTGCATTAACACAAATCCTAAATGTTTTGGAGATGTTCGTTTTAAACCATCTTTGGTATCTTTTATTAGCAAACACGACGATTAGCTCAGATAGCTAGCATTACTAGAACAGCCGACTCTGTGAACACATTCTTGAGAAGGCAGTTTTACTTTTACTCTGACATTTCCAAGAAGCTAACGACGTTTCCAAACCCACCGTGTTCATCGACAAACTGCCCGAAAGCTCACAAAGGTCAAATGGAGAACATTTCCTTGGCCCGACGTCCATACTGTCTCTCCCTTGAGTGAACCAAAGACTCGTCTTAGAAAAATATGGTTTTCTCTTAACCAGCTTCGCTCAATCTGTGTGAATCCCCTGACTTTGTTTTTAAACGTCTCACTGACACTAGAAATGGCTGCTTCTGAGCAGCAAACATTCATTTACTTTACAAGCGGATCACTTTTTAAAACAAGCTAGCCGAGTCGGCACAACGCAAGACACGACGTACTGCAGCAGTTCACAGATTTAAAATATTTAGCATTACATACGATCAACTTTAGTGGCATTTTTTTTTCCCACCTTATGACATTTGTGATTCTGGCATTTGCTTTTTTTGTTTTTGTTTTTTCACTTATATTTGCCTATAGCAACGTGAATCTTTTGGAGATGCCCACACATGTGAACGATGTGATGTTAACAAGGAACAAAGGCTGAGGTGAGGAGGACGAAAACTATTTTTAAAACAGCAAGCCAGGTAGAAGCTGTGCTGAATGACTACAGTGTTCATCTTGTGATGCAAATCATGCAACATTCATGCAATACCTGACTAACTAAAGGAAGAAAAAAAAGTATCTCAAGAATAAGCCAAAGGAGAACCAAAACGCTGCAGTTTGCATTGATTGAATCCTCTAATCCTGGGAAAGATGGGAATAAATTCAAAAAGATTAAGCAGCCTTGAGTTAATCTGCCAGGTTAGTTTACATACAGGCTGTTTATTGAGTTTTTATTTCCAACAAGCAGAGTGCAAACGCTTGATTCTAAAAAAAATAACAGTTTCAATTAAATCCACTTTATATTATGTTACGGATCCCCTAAATAAGAACATGACAGGTAACATTTATTCTGCTTTCCTGAAGTGAAATGAAAAATATGGCTGTCAAGCGAGCCGGCAACCCATCAACTCACTTACTTATCAGTGGTTTCTGATAAAGCAATGTGGGAAAAGTACTGACAGTCACTTTCCCGAGCTCAATATGTATTCACAAATGCATCATTTACTCCCAATCGAACAGCAGTCAATGACTGATCACTGATCCGTTCACTTGGCTCATTTGTTCAAACTGAGATCACTGTCCATGGTGCTGGAACCTCCAACGCGTTCCCACGTTAAACGACTCAGTCAGCAACACGGACTCGGAGGAAAATAGCGCGTAATAATAACAATGTGGCGCTTCAGATTAAATGTGCGATTGAAATTTGTTCATTTCACAGCTAACTTTGTGATATATTATTCATTTTCTTTCTTCCTGTTTCTCAGTTTCCTCTCTCCTCGCGAAACCGAATCTGCTGCCAACAAAACGACGAAATTATTATTAATCACATGTAATGGTAGGAAGACTCGACGGCAAACAGAGCGACTCCTTCACTCCAGTAAAAAGAACGAAAGTGCTCCAGTGAAGTCCTCACTCACCTCTTTCGTCACAGAGGAAGGCAGAAAAAAGTCACTTATTATTTCTGCTTTACCGTCTGCTTTCTGTCAACTCGTTTCAAGAGTAAAGAGGAAGTCAAACGTTTCCTATTGCAGCTTGGAAACAGTCAAGAAAAGCTACGTTTCCGAAGAAACGCTCGAGTAAAAGTAGTCGGAAATGATTTACCTTCGTAAAGCAGATTCGTTGGGGGGGAAATCAAAGAGCAACTTCTCCCTCTGCACGTCGCGCTGTGTTTGCGGTCAGTCCGTCCACTTTATCGCGGGCTGTAACGCAACTCCGCCTGCTGCGCTGAGCTCGCGCGCCGCTTCTCTTCCCGTCCGAGGCAGAAACTGGCGGAGCGCGAGACGTGCGGCACGTGGCAGCGTACGGCTCGCGCGCTCTTCCTCTCCTCACAGGTGAGGCGCGCGGGAGGGACGCAGCGTGCAGATGATGCCGGATCTGATGAGCAGCGCTGGCGGCTTTCAGCGTGACAGTGTTGTGATTGTCCTCATGACACGCTAACAGCTCAGGAAAAATATTGAGCAGCAATACGACACCATCCACCTCATTGGCTTTGTAGCATTTTTTTTTTCGTCCATCTTTCTGGCCGTGTGGTCAGAAAGCAGAGAGAGGCTGGAGTCGGGGATGCGGTCTTCCACCCAGGAAGCCTCTTTTTCAGCTCCTCTGGGATTTGGAGTTGCAGTTCAGGTGTCATTTGAGCTGTGAGGCGCTAATCAGCTGCTACCAGCGGCAAAAACAACACCCCGATGCCAGGGTTACGGATCATGAGAAATATACCCAAGTAAAAAGGAAAGAGCAAAGAAAAAAAACCTGCTAGATGCAACAAAACCAAAGAGAAAGGAAGGAAGGAAGGAAAGAGGAAAAGAAAGAAGGAGGGAGATTGGTTCTATGGATGGACGGATGGATGGATGGACGGGTATTAAAAGCACTAAATTGGTTCACTATTTGTTGGTGCAGGTTCCTCCGTGTTTTTTGCGCTTCAGTAACATTTAGTTTCATTTTATCACTTCTACACTTAATGTGTAAAAAATTACTGCAGGTAAACATTCAACCTCAGTTTAACTAAATAAATAAAAATCGTTGTTTGGGAAATAAAAGTTGAAAAAATTCAAATACGTACTTCTGTACATTTTCACTTTACTTTACGGTAAAGTCGTAAAGTGTGGCGAGCCAATCAAATTAAAGCCGTGGCTTCCTCGGAGCATTTGGTTCAGTGCTGAGCGTGAACGACTCCCACTAACTCTCTCTAAACAGGAGTCCTGATTCAGCGAGTCTCACTAATCAACACAACTGATCAGTGAATCAGGAAGTCGTCATCAGCTCGGCTCTGACGTGGCGCTTTCCGCCGCCGCTCGCTGACCTGATTGGACTAAGACCAGGCCCGGATTCCGATTCCAGTCGGCGTCTCTTTTGCTCTGACTGAGTTATTCCTTTCGCTTTCACACATTTCAGACATGCTATATTTACTTCTGCTCTGGAAATATAAAAACACCCTCTGGCGCTGACGCCTTCAAATGAAAACCAAGCCGTGAGCGCTGATGGTTTGTGAAATGAGGAACATCTGGGAGCAGAGAAACGTGTTTCTGGGTTTCAGCGTCTGATTGGTGGACGTGGATCAGAAAGCAGTTTTACTGTTCAGGATGATTCCTCTCATCCCTCTCTAATGCAGTGTTGAGTGAATTTAGACTAACAAACATTGTTGAAACTCAAAAGTACTTGAAACAAAAAGTTTTCTACACACAAATACCTCCTTACACCACCGCGGGGGTTAAAATATATATAGCCTATCTGAGTGTTTTGTAAATTTCTTAAAACCCCAAAAATCACATCTAGTGAGCGGTGCATCCTTCACATATGCGTCTTAATTCAGTTCTGCTTCACACACTCAGTCTTGGTAATTCCTCACAACAATATGAACGTGAATTGGACTGTGACGTCACTGCATCCGTTTCGCTTCAGGCAATATGGACGTATAATAATGTAGTCATCTATGACCACATTGTCTTTTCTTATCATTTTCTAACAGCTGAGTGTTTACTTAAGTTGTGTGTGAGGGTGTGTGTGTGTGGGTGTGTGTGTGTGTGGGTGTGTGTGTGTGTGTCTGCATTGGTGCAAAAGAAAGAGCAAAAAGAATCAACATCTAGAAACTTTTAGCTGCTAAGTAAAATCCTGCAGGCTTGTCCAAAATAAACATCTTTTTTTAGTCTTCCATCCAACAAACTAATCACTGATGTCATCTAAAAAAATAGTAATAATAATTGTAAATATGTTTTATTGCACACAATGTGGACTTATGTTCAGCTGATGATAACTATTATTTACCTGTCATCCTAACTTGCGTGAATTTGACCAAAAATAAGCAGGGCAGAAATAAGACAACACAGTTTGCCGATTTACGGTCAGTATTTGACCATGAATGCAGCACATTTAAAGGCAAAATGCATAACCTGCTTATGTTGATGCGTTAGAGTCAGACACAATAGCATATGTGTCTGAAAATGTTTTGTTTTCTAAATTTAAAGGCATATGCAGATACAAATCTATGATTCTTCCTCCTTCTTTCACAATTGTTTAGCACATTTCATGCACTTTTTCAGAGGCACTAAATTCTGCATCATCCTAAAATATGAAAGATGAGTACAAAATACTTAATTGTGCTTTTAACATTTAATCAGTCTGCTCAACGCTAACGTTCAGGGCACAAAACCATAAAATGTGTAAAAACTTTCTACAATCTTTTCATTACCATTGAATTTGTCGCACACCATAATTCCCAGGCTTAATCTGAGGACCATTTTTCCAACTAACAAGACGAAGGAGCATCTAAAATGGTTCAGACGTCAAGGTCAGAAGAAATTAGCAAAAAAGTTTCACTGATCAATAGAAACTGCTTGCAAGTCTCTGACTTAAGCCTGACTCTCGACTAAAGCCGACCGCTCATCTCTGAGATCAGGCCAGTCTGTGTTTGGTGAAATGGAAGACTTGTTGGTCAAACTTTATGAAATACTGCATGTTAAATTCTTCTACACTGAACACGGTGGTGGCAGAGTGATGGTGTGGCATAGCAGAGTTGGTGAGGACATGAATGAATGAAAAACAGGGAAATCCAGGGAGAAAACACTAAACGTGCAGCCAGATAGACAAGGCAACGATTTAGGCTGTATTGTGTACAACGGTTAATACGGCCTAGTCAAAGTCCAGACATAAATATCCAGCAGAAAAACCGTGATATGTCTGGGACATTCCTTTTCAGACCACGTCCATCCAAAATTTGAACCTTTTCGCAATAAAAACATGCAAAGATTTGAATCCTAGAAAAAGCTCATTTCATCTCACCACTGTGCATAATTTTTGTTTAGGTTTAGTACATTGCAGCCTAATAAAATCACTGTAGGGGTTTGGGCCAAACGAAACAAATGAATGGATATACATTCACAAACATAATTTAAATTACAACAAAACCTGAGTGGTAATCTTAACACAAAGACACACACACACACACACACACACACAGCAGCACCAGTCTGGACCTCATTTTGCCTTTTTGTTTATTTGCATTATCATACATTAGGTACAAATGACACAATCTGTTACAAGGTTAAGTAGCTCAGACTTAAGTTAAAGGTCTCAGGCTATAACAATGGGGTGAAAAAAAAATAGAAGAAAAATAAAACGTACACCATTTGCAAAATACAAGATGTTCGTTCTCTTTTACAGTCGTTTGTAGATACCTGCTGTAAATTATCTATATACAAGGACAGGGATGCAGTGATTATAAAATAACACGGAAGAAGGAGGCGGAAATGTGGCTTTCTGGGTTCAGATATAAGGCATCCTTGTGCTTTACCGATTCAGAAAATCGGTAACCATCATGAGCCAGGAAGGGATTATTAGAAGTTGCTGACTAAACGAAAGAAAACCCTCATTCAAATGTTATACACCCAAATATAAAATAACATATGCTCCTCTGTTACGTCTGGTGAGCTAAAATACCAGAAATCAGTCTCAATCAGCTCGACAATCTAAATGGAAACTGTGAACGAAAAGGAAGAAGAATGCTGATAATTGACGCCGTTCAAGGGAAATCAAGAGTTTCCGGATCTGGAATTTTGTTGAGGGGGAGGGAGTCAAGAAAACTAACGACTAAAGTGATAGATTGACTAGATTGGGGAGAAGAAGTGGATTGTTGTGACAAGGCACAGGGGCCGATACAAACATCACCATCAGAAAACATCTTTCGACACGTCGCACGCTTGCTCCTCCATCAAAAACGCCGTCATTTCACGTCGCCGAGGCGTTCATCGACTGACGACTCGCGGTGATACTCGCTCCGTGGCGGTCGCAGGGCGGTGAAGGGGATGCGAGCAGACGCATGAGGATTACTCCAGTTTTTCTTCCTTTAAATCTAAAGGTTAATTATAGGTAATGAGGTCTTTATATCCAATAAATTGTAGAGGAGACAAAAAAAAAACATTCACATTTACTGGAAGAAGCAACGAGAGAAGCGAGGCGCAAACGAGCTTTTAAAAAAAGTAAATTAATCTTGGTTATTTAAGAAAAAATGGGCGCAGAATTGAATAAAAGACAAAAGGTGGGGGGAAAAAACTGAATATGTTGCATCTTTACAAGCGGAGGGGAAGGCACAAGAGGAAAGACTGGATATTGTTACGCCCCTGAATGTCTGCGAGTTAAACTACGAGACGTCCAGACATTTGGGTAAAGGGATGAAGCTAGTCCATTTAGCCAGGACACATACAGGGCAGAGACAGTATGTACAATGAATATTTGATCTTCTTTCACTGTAACCGACTGCAGAGGCTAAAATTAAACACTTAAGCTGATTCTCTTCCTGCTGTATAGAAGACGACCCGACCATTCGACTCACTGGCATCGCGACTCGTACTGAAACGCTGCGCATTTCCGCACCAATGGTGACACACTGCCGTGCGTTTTGTGGTCAAGTCAGAAGCTGCTAAAGAGCGCCACCCGTTTGTCTGCATCTGTTGTCGGGTTCTGGTGTTTTTCCACGTTTGGCACGAGCAGAACGGTAGTAGGACGCTAGAAGGCGTAAGAAAAATGAGTTTTATCAGTATCAGCAGTGAGTGGAGCAAAAAGGGCAACAAAAAGGGGCGCCGCGCCAGAGCGGGCGCCAGACGTGGACGGAAAAATTATTTGTAGTCAGAATTTGAAAAGGCCTGACGTGTCTGGGTACACCTCAGGAAGCACTCAGATGCATTCCCAAGGGTCAGATGTGTCAAGATTTCCAGACCAAAAATCAGCAACATCGTTTCTGCCTTTAGTTTTCAATCGGTGTCATCTAATTAAATATAAACGCTACGAGAGACAACACTTTTCTTACGGATCAGTCTCTAGCTATCAATATTTTCTCATATTTTTGACAAAGTCGCTGCTTTCACTTTGCTTTCCAAGCTAACCGAGCAACCAAACGTCACTCTCACTTTCACCTGCTCAGAGATCTGCTGTCCAGATTTACCGTCTCAATAATCAGCCCTAAATTTGCCGCTTCGCAGCTTCACAGTGCGACGGCGATCAGACTGATTAACGGGCTAAATTTGTGACCTTTAGAGAGATTTGCAAGGACTTAACAGAGAGTCACCAAACAAATCAAATATACAGACACGGAAGATGTGAAACAAATTAGAAACAACTCCGAACAATTACAGAAAAAAAAAATAAATCACCCTTTCTTCCACCTCTAATGACAGTAAAAATCTATCACTATAAGCCTGTTTTAAATATTTCTTCGGGTACAACTTTTATTTAAAGAATTTCAAAAAAAGTGAGTCTAAAACGACTTATCCCTGTGCCAATAAGTAAAGGGATCGTAATGTTTTCCCAATTTACTCCCACTTTATTTTGAGACACAAACCTTTCTTACTTATGTATTTAAACACTGAGCACCTTGTTATTTCTCCTGGTAACTGAGAGTTTCAATAAACTCCGAGTATAAGGCGGCAGATGGCCCCTCACTCCTAGAAAAGTCTGGCAGTGAAACATAGAAAGTTCAAAAAGCACAAAACGGCAAAGGGACAAGAAGGACAAGAGCGCTTGAGTGTCGGATTAAAAGTTGGAAATTCTCCTCTTGCAGCATGCAGCACTGAGATGCCATGCACGAATATTGCTCATTAAACACGCAGGACATTCAACGACTGGGAAATGCATCCAAACAAACCTGCAGTCAATGTTGCTGGGAAGTACTTAAAAAAAACAGAAAAAGTTTGACAAATAATTGTAATAAAACAAAACAAGTACAACAGAGTTTTTTTTTTTTTTTTCCCACAACCCGTTAAAGTCGTCCAGCCGATCGGCGTCAAACTCTCGTACAAACAAATATTGGCTTTACCGACTAAGGTAACAAACAGAAATGTATGCATGGGTTGGTATAAAAAAAAAAATGCAAGTAATACGTATTTAAACAGGTCAAAAACTATTTACAAAGAAGGTACACCGATTCTTTCTTAGATTAATCCATTAGTCTGAGCTAAAAATGGGGCTAAAGTGAGCAAACTTGCTGGTATGTTACAGCATTAAAGCAACACGTTTTCAATAATTATCTTCAGTTTTTGTCACAGCAAAGTGACTGAAACAGTTTGAGAGGACGCTGTTTGGAAAACACGTTTGAAAACGTCCTCGCTGCGTCTGCTTAGATATTTATGGCTAACGAGGATTTAAACACTAACTGGAGTTGAAAAATGAATGAACCTATTTGGGTTTCACGGGAGATTTGTGCAAACTAAACTAAACTAAAGCTGAATCAAATTGATCTCGTCCTCAAAAGGATTCCTGTATAACAGCAGGGAAGTAACTAAGCAAACTATTTCATCATCAGTGCCTAAAATCGAATTTTACAAACTGGGAATATCACTTTTCATTCCTAAAGGTCGTAATGTTCTTTATTTTTTCTAGTTGATTTACGACAGATGTATATCAGCTGAGATTGGGACGGTGGAAAAAAAAAAAAGAAGAAAGAAGCTGAAATTGAATCCCACACCGTCACCGTTTGAAGTAAACAAGCAGAAAACTAGAAAAATGACACAGGACACATTTAATAACCAGGTGCTGTTTCAACGCCTGAAGCACCTTTCCTTCATATTTGGCTACAACATCTAAACTGCCTGATACGTGCGTATTCTGATTACCTAAAAAATAATAAAATAAAATCACCTTGTCAAAAGTACGTACTGACCGCAAGAACTTTTTTCACATCTTTCCTGTTACAACCACAAACTCCACTGGATTTCACCCAGACTTTTTTTTTCTTTTCTTTTTTGTGATACACGAGTGTGGTAAGATCAACAGGTCTATATTCATGCAAAATGTTGCGTGTGTCTGAAAACTAGCACTCTAAACACACACCGTCTCCACAGCAGAGTACGGCGGTGGCACCGTCATGCTGTGGGGATGCGTCTCTGCAGCTGAACATGGAAGCTGGTCGGAGTCGCTTGGAAGGTGGATGAAGGTGGATTTAGCACCTAAATCTCATTAAGAACCTTCGGTGAATTGGAACATTTTTCAAACCGTGTTTTCGGATTTTTAAATCACATATTTTCATCCCGACTGGTTGTTCTCACAAAAAATCCTGCCGGAAATCCACGGAAGCTTGTGGTTGGCAACGGAGCGAAATCTGCAAAGGTTCAAGCGGCACGACTTTCTCTTGCGAGGCGCTGAGGATCTATTGACACCAGTTGAATCCACTGAGGCTTGTAAACATATTTTGTTTTCTCGATCACATACTGGCATAGATTAATAAAGCCTGGCACCCTTCCTCGTTTGAACGCCTCCCAGGTTACAGAGACACATCGTCCTACGGTGCATGCTCAGGATTAGTAAAAAAAAAAAATTTAAATTAAAATGACGTCTTATGGCGACTGAAACCAATCTAGTCTATTCGATTCATATTCTGTACTGGCAAGGAAAAAATAAAGATGTACAAAGTAAATATGCATGCCCTACAGTCCTGCTTAGGAAGAACACCAACACATTGGGATCAACTGTGGGACTCGAGGCGCTAGTCGGATTTCGTCGACGGTTGGTTCAGGTAGGCGGCAGGGAGCAGGGATCTTCATCAGAGACTCTACCATCATCTTCCTCCTCCTCATTCGCTGCTGACGAGCGACGGGTGAACGAACTGAGGGTTGATGAAGGAGAAGCCTGAAAACTCGGCCTGGTCGATGTTGGCTATCACCAGCTCGTCGGGCGGCGTGAGCTGGGGTTGGGTACGCGTGAAGAACTTGTCGAAGTTCTCCGCCCCTTTGCCACACTGTAAGAAGAAAGAAATACAGAAGGACACACAAAGGAGAGAGAGACGTTTAGACGTCAGGTATGTGGAGGTGTCAGAGGTCAGCGAAACGGAAAGACGGGAGAACAGCACAAACTGTCGATTCGGAGGAGCTCCGTGGTTGGATTGTTTTTACAAATTAATAGAAACTTGAAACGGGATTTGTATTCCCAAAACCTTTCCACATTTCCTACCCAAATTTTAAGATATTTTGCCTCATGAAACAAGACCAGATAGCACCTTTATGTGTAAGTAGAAGGAAGAGTCGGATTCAAGACCTCTTTTTTTTTTTTAGAAGAAACGTGTCGCGTACGAAAGAGCTTTAAACGACTAGACTACTGAGAGCCTGCAGCACTTACACTTTCAATGTGCTGTGATCTAAACCGTTGCAGGTCTGACTGTAGAAATATGTGGCTATGTTCCTGGCTTGAAATATTTATTATTATTATTAGACTTATTATTAAATGCTTGTGTAACCCCAGTTAGTTAAGACGTCTTGTGTCTGTTGGTAAAAGTGATGTAAAATAAACCAGAGGAATGTACAAGAGTGAATAAGCAGGAAAAGAGAGTCCTCCTACTCATGAGGCTAACCTACCTTGTTGCAAACATTTTAGCGCGCACACACACGCAAACACACGCAAACACACGTACCCACTGTGAACACGACTAGCATTTAAGTTTCCCTTAGGAGCAACTCCTCTGCAGTTGTCTGCTGATATCTGTAAAGCCATTTCACGGAGCTCCAACACACACACACGCACGCACGTACGCGCACACACACACACAAGCTGCAGAATAAATTAAGAGCGGAAGGCGACCAAAAGCGCCTCTCACTACTGCATAAATACAGTAGTATACATAAATACATAAGCATGCTTCTCGTTACTTAGAAATAAGATTTACACATTGAGGCTCAGCTCAACACAAAGGCACGCGGGAGAGTCTGTGGTCGAGTAGAAGAAAGTTCTCTGGTCTGTCGAGACCAAAGTGAAGCTTTACGGCCATCAGAGGAGACGATGTGTTTGGCGGACACAAACACTGTGTCTGTGTCCGCCAAAAGCATCCAGCTTTCGAGCTTTTGGCGGACCGACAACGACAGCCAAAAGCATCCAGCCAAAAGCCAGATGGAAATGGTTTGAAGACAAAAATGTGGATGTTCTGGATTGGCCCAGTCAAAGCCCAAACATCAAAGCCATAGGGTAAAGCTTCAGTGTCCAGATCGGCCTATCCACACTCACTTTACATCTTGATTGCATCCAAAGATTCATCTAATGTACCGACTTGAAGGGGGTGAATTAGTTGTCCAGTGACTAATTTTAGGTTACATTTTATTTTAAGTGAGGTTACGTCGTAGAGATCCAATTTGACTCCGAGATTAAAGTTTTATTTTTTGCCATTTGGGTCGAAGAGGCCCGTTTTCACCCTGTGTTCGTTCCAGCGTTTTAGTGTCGGTCAGCGTCTCATTGTCGACGTGTTCAGGCTTCAGAAAAGGTGCGCACCGAAAATAAATAAAATGACCTTTCACCTTTTACCTCTGTTTTTACTCCTTTTTTCATTTCTGAACTGGCCAGTCAACACCGAGCTTCAACAGAGAAGAAGAGGAAAACTCGAGGGCGCAGATGTGTCCGACAGGATTGTGTCTGCGTGGGAGTTTTTTGGGTTTTTTTTACGTCGACTGTGTCCACTGCCACCGTCAGGTGACATTCGCCCTGAGCGAGCGCCGCCATGTCGTGGCGGATCGACAGCAGGACCGACTACGTCAGATGAAAATCAAATGTGGCTCAACGTGCGTGCGCGCACTAACAAACACACGTCAGCGTCGGCCCTCCTCTGCCCTCCCCTCACCGCGCGCACGCCCACCTGGCGGCCAATCGCCAGCGTCCTTCAACTGCCGGGGCGCTCCGTCCACTTGTCGTCTTCTATCCATCACGGAGCAGTCATCGCTCAAGCGAAGCAGCACACTTTTTAAAATTTGACCTCTTGCCACAATCTCCGGCACCGAAACGTCCCTTTGTGTCCCCGAGCGGTTGGTTCTCTCGTGACATCTGCCGACTGCCGCGGGGGTCTGGGGGATGGCGGGAAACGCCCCCGCCGCCACAGTGTACGCCGAGCACATGCGGGACGAAGCTTCAGCTGCAGAACTGACAGCAGCTCGCTTCGTTTATCCCAATCTCTCGGCTTTTATATCACCGAACACGATCCGAGGTTATCGCACGGGATTTCACCCCTTGATTTTGGAAAGCCAGACCCCACAAATGTGGAACTCAAGTCGCAGAATCCGCGTCGGTAGAAAAAGAATAATTAAATTTTTTTCCCCATGAAAAGCAAAAGGAAGGAAAGCAAACGCCTCATTAGGCAGTGATTCAGTCAGGCCTATGGTGGGTGAACTCTGGTCAGCATCTACACTTACCATGACACAGCGTCCAGCATGAGTTTGGATGACCTACTTTCTCTCATCTTTAATCCGCCTCTCTTTTTACACACTCGTCTCTTCATTTAACTACTTTGAAAGAACACACACAGCCACTTAGGAAGATAAATAAGTCTGTGCCTCTGTTAGGTTTGTGTTGAGACACACACTTTGTCTTTACTTCCCTTTCCTTGAAGCTGGCATTATGCAAAACTCTCCTTAGACTTTTGTCTTTTAAAATTGAATTACAGCAGGAGTGGTTGCATCTAATAGCAGATACGTGGAGCTGTTGTATAGTACGAATTATCAAATATTTAGTTTTAATCATCTAATTTAATGAAAGTATTAAAATATAACTGAGACTCATGGGTTATTATTTGAGATTGAATTAGGACTTTGACTGTACCGTAAAAGTAATGCAATCTAATGGAATAAAAATGTGTAACTGCAAAAGTTTCTCGGGTTTAATCAAAGTTTGCATTTATTACAGAGATTAGTTTTAATGACATAGAATAGAAACTTCATGCAAAGAAACATTTTTATTGGTTTAGGAAAACATTTTACTTTATGAGTCAAGTATTTGCAAACATGCATGAAAGAACCAAAGCAGCACTGCAGGTATATGTCTTGTTTTTGATGAGGTAACATTATAACATGATGTAAAGCTGAGGAAATAAGTTTATTTTACATAATATTGTCAATTCAAGGTGAAAAGAAGGCGGTTGCGTTCGTTTCGGTCTCACTGACTTATTTTTCTTCCAGCTGCAGCAAGTCAGGACTTCATATTATTACAAATTGCTGTGTGTCTCAGTGGATATGTGGCAAAGTATGTCATATGCACATTTCTTGGAAACTGCACCGATTCTTACGTTTCTTTTCTTTATTTTCTTGTTTTCATGGACTATGACTCAGCAGCTCTTGATCTGACCCACTTTTTTTTTTTTTTTTTTTTTTTTCATTTTCTCTTTTATTTAACGCATAAAGACGACTCCATGTTCCCCTGTGGGTGGGAATTATGTCGGCACCCTCGCAACGAACTAGACTTTGAATACCGACGCAGCTCATTGTTGCCGTTTTTTTTTTTCCACTGCGGGAGATGGTCGCAAAGTACCACCATCAACTTCTGTAAATATCGACCTGTAAATTTCAATATTTACAGAAATTTACAACTTCTGTAAATATCGACACCGGACTGTCACCTACACTTGCCGTGACAGTCGTTCTACCGTCCTCTGAGGTCTTGTACATACAGATGGCCTGAGTTTTCTTTTTTAAGACAACTCCCCAGCTGTAGCAACCAAATGAAGTGTGATTGATTGAGAGGCAAAGAAAAATAAAGAAAGAAGGCAGAGGAAAGAGGAGGAGTCGGATAAGAGAGGCAAGAATGGATTGCGTGAAGGGTGAGAGGGTGATGCTTAATGGTAGCCAGCTATCGTAATGGTTATCGCTGTTAAATGGCACAGGAGATGGATCATTCTGCAGGTTCAACCCTTTGGCTCTCTGTCCAAATCTCTCTCCCTCAATGTTTCTGCGTACATCCGGAGCCATGCCAGCATGCGCTTGTGCGGTGAACATGCATCTTTGGATGCCTTAAATCAACCAGTACAGTGCCTTTCGAAAGGCTCCACTTCTCCACATTTTGTCACGTCGTAGCCATGAACTTCTATGTGTTTATTTGTGGATTTTTTTCTTGAGAACCAAACAGATACACAGTTTTCAAACCCAAAAATGTAAGAGGTTTGACATGCATGTACAATCTGCCCAATTTACTCCCAACAACCACACAGTAAAGTTCAGCGTGAGTCGCCTCCAGCAGTCAGAGGTAATTAGAACCTTCATGTGCAAATTTAGGGGCGCGTAACAAGTTTTCAGTGGGATCACAATTTTCCCGAGATCCAGCCGCTTGTTTACGCGTCTCCAGCGATCAGAGGCAGTTTTTGATACCACGTCTCTGGGCTGTTGTAAAGGAATATTTTAATAATCGAGTACTCTATAGAATATTTTGCAGATTATCCAAAGAATCTCTCTCTGTCTCTCTCTCTGCGCCATTCCCACCGTTCGCTCCAAAACCGTTGCGGAGCAATTTCGATGCCACAAAACCCGTCGTACTCCAACCATCGCGCCACAAAGTTCAAATCCTTTATTCATCCCCCAAACCCTGGCAAAACACTGCACAACTCAACACCATCCTGCTAGCGCTTCACAACAACTCCTAGGCCGGAGCACGGAGCGCTACATAATAGAACATCATTTAATGAAGCTTAGAGACAGAAATTTTCCTCGAGGAATTTCAATAATCAAGGTACTCGAATGTTTTGAGGAATCCTTTCAGCCCTGCACGTCTCAGACTGAAACTTTTCTGTAACTCCACCCCCTGAGGAGTGAAGTACTCTGCAGCCGCAGGGGTTTTTTTCCCCTCAAAATTTGAACTACAAAAATAAATGTATTTTGAATTTTGGAAATTTGGAAAAGTTCAACATATTTGGATACTTTCTAAGGCACTGCATATATACGATCACTCTCCAATATTCCAGTCTCTACTAGCATTCGATTCCCAACACAGCACACCCAAGCAACAAACTGATGCAGAAGCAACAGAAACCTCCTTCAATACTTTTTAAAATCTATATGAAACATCTTTTTCTTCAGCCAACTCACACACACACGCAAACAAACACTTTTCTTCTACATACACACACAAAGCTCACAATGCATCCACTCGATGGGTAAAAACACAGTCAGGATTCACCTCATCCGAGGACGTGGGGCCCTTGAGGGTTGAAGAAGTGGAGAGGTGAAGTTTTAAAAATGAACACACACGGACACACACTCATCTATGAACAACTCTGACTGAAGTATTTGGTCCCTGTGTTAGTTTTTTCTTGAAGGAAATGAAGCGTACATGTATCTTTACTTTGTTCAATGTTCATTAATTTGGGTCATAAATGATTTAAAGGATGAAGAGTGGGTTCAGGATTTATTATTATCAGGTATTACAATTTCCTTTTTGTAATTTTTTAATTTTTTTAATGATCACTAAAGTGACTATTTTGGTTGTTTCTTAAATTTTCTTTCCAGTTTTCTAAATTACCAGTGATCAGAAACAGTTTGAATCAATTTTTATCAGTAAAAGAAGAAATAGTTTTAAGTAATTTTTATTGTACATTATTCTTTTTTTTCAGAAGGCTACAGAAATGAAACAAACTATTTTAGTTTGTTGCTTTGTTGAGGAAATGTTGGACAACAAGCATTTTGGGACCAAAGCCATTTAGGGATCCTTCCTGTATCTCTGATGTTTGGTTTTCATTAGTGAATGTAATATGTGCAAGAATTTCAAATGTTCATGGTTTGGTGATAGTAGATAAAAGCTTCACTCTTTTCTGGGGATAAAAACTTAGAAATTTCCAAAGGGAAATGCCTCCACTGTGTGCAGCACAAAGATAAGGTGCATCTGTCCTGTGTGATTGTGACTCAGTGTTGTTTGAGGAAAAGCTCTGGGAAACTCAGATAAGACTTTTTGAGCTCTAATAATCAGAACAAGAACAACTAATGTAAAGATAAGGATTATTTGTGTGGATTGAATTTCCTCAATGACACAAATCTGATGGTAGGAAGAAAAACATACAAGAAAGCTTGAATGAAATGTGACGTCACATAAAAATTTGTTTGATTCTTCATGCTAAAAGTGCTCAGATTTACAGAATTTGTTGATCAAAATGCAAAAGGATGAAGAAGAAAGTAAATATAGAAATATTACAAATATGTTAAATGTTGGGAGAGTCTGAAGTGTTTTTAGTTTATCCGAATGTTTTATTTAGTTATTCTGCATCCGAATTCGACTCCAGCCGTTCTGTACTGTTTCCAAGAAGGTTCTGTACACTTATTCTTCCCTATCATTGCAAATGTAAACATATTGAATTTGCAAAACTTTTACTAAAACTCTGAGATTTATGGTAACACACAATGAAACTGGGTTTGGAGTGGAGAGGACTCATTGTAAAATATGGTGGGTAACACAATAAAATGTGTATTTTGTTTTTTTTCCCTACACATCTTGTTTAGGGCTGAAACGATTAATCGGATTAATGGTGATGAATCGATTGAGAACATGGCCAACTAATTTAATAATCGATTAATTGTTAACTGCAGAATTCAGACTAAAAAAGCCCATTTGCTGAAAAAAACAGCAGTAATTAAGCTAAAACGGTACAAAAATAATCACACATTTTGCATTTCAGATGAACAACAACAAAAAAAGACACGGTCTGAAAATATATTTTATCCAAAATTCACTAAAAAAATTCTACGTGGTTGCATTTTAGACAATGAAATTTTTATTTTCTCATCATCAGAATAATTGATGACTAAAATAGATAGAAATAGATTCAGCCCTTTTCTTAATCAGAGCTGCAAACAAATTTGTATGTTCAGTCTGGTTCAATTAAACTCTTGTAGAAAAAAATCTAGAGTTTCTTTAAACATCAAAGTTATTTGATTTAGGTTTATGTCGATACTTTTTTTTTTTTCTGATGATGACTTTTCTACTTTTAAAAAAAAAAGGGAGAGATTTACTTCCACTAAAATCATTATTTTGCAGACGGGATAGATGAGCAGTGACAGTCTTAGCGGGAGGAGAACAAACGCCTTTTTGTCTGCACCTTTTGTCACCTGAACCGTAGAAATAATCCTCATAAGGAGAAGCGTTAGGACTTATAATAATCTACTGCCCACCAGTGTTGGAAAACGTGGCGTTTTGCAGCCTGGGTGCGTCGGCTTACCACTTTGGGCTTGAAGGGCGGCTGTATCTCTCTGTTCTCCAGGCGCTCCCAGTCGATCCGTCTGAAGAAGGCGTGTTCTCTGATGTCCCTCTCTCCTTCGGTGCCGCAGCCCAAACGCTTCGCTGGTTGTTTGTTCATCAGCTGTTCGTGCGAGGAGATAAATCAAGACAATAAGATTTTTGAAAATATTAGTGCCTGTAAGTTTAGGTGGATGGCCTTGTCTTGGTAGGTGGCATGCTTTTTCCATTTGATTCCAGATGATTCATGGAACAGTACTCTGAGATGTTCAAAGTTTGGAAAACCTGTTTATAGCCTGAGCCTGCTTCAAGCTTCTCCACAACTTTATTGTCAACCTGTCTGGTGTGCTCCTTGGACTTCATGATGCTCTTGTGCACTAATATTTTCTTACCCAACCTTTGAGACAGACATAGAGGAGTTGAATTTTAACTGGAATCAGATTACACACAGGTGGACTACATTTAGTCATTGGCAGTCATCAGGCAACTTCTTAAGGCAATTGGATGCACTCAGTGAAAGGGGACTCAAAACTTTTGCACACCGCACTTTTCTGAAGTGCGGTGAAGTCAAATATTTGATGAAGTCATCCAATAGGTCAATTTGAAAAGGTGTAATTTAGAAGGTCCTGAATGCAGCATTTAACTACTAGGCTCATGTTTCGCTTTTTCCAAATCATCAGTGGAATAATGGGAACAAGTAATTTCAAATATGTGTAAAGCAGCAGTGAGTCCAACTTCTGAACAGTAATGACAGAAGACTGGGTTTATTCCAGGCATTAATGTAAATATGTAAAATAGGTAAAAACAACCTTTAAAGTGACAGGTTGCTCTGCATGTTTAGAAGTCCGGCTCCGTGAAATACTTCTGCTTTCCTGATGGTTTTGTGAAGACAATGAATTAATCACAAGATGATTGGTGTGTGTGTGTGTGTGTGTGTGTGTGTGTGTGTGTGTGTGTGTGTGTGTGTGTGTGTGTGTGTGTGTGTGTGTGTGTGTGTGTGTGTGTGTGTGTGTGCGTGGTTAAAAATGTCTCTTCACAGCAGATCAAAATAACCATTTCCGGCTTTGAAACTAGAGGCTCAGATTGCCGTCTCTTTATGTGAAGACAAAATAAACGACTAATGGCAGCAACATTTACTACAAAAATGAGAACCAGAAGCTTTGGGTCTTTTCGTTTGAAAGTATCTCAGTAAAAAGCGATCACCTCTCCGTTGTTTCGTATCTCTCGACATTCGATTTCGCTGCGTTTCTAGGTCAGCGGATGACAGCTGAACAGATGGGCCTACAACGTGTGACATAATGGCTTTCCCCTCGTTTTCCCTCTGCCCTGCTCTGCCTTTAGATAATCGCCGTCTCTTCAGCTCACCCCGACAACGACACGGCGAGACAATTTGCACCCAGTTTAGGAAGTAAAACAAGACTCGTATGCCAACCCAGGACATGGAAAGCTGTGCAACATTGATATTGATAAAGCTTTACCTAATAAAATTATAAATAATGCCCTACTCTTTTGATAACTTTCAAAAGAAAGCACATTTAGCGGGAAGAGCTATCCAAAGTTTCACATGTCTGAAATGATACTAAATATAGTGAGAAAGTTGCTGAGTTGGTAACAGTGGGGTCACTATTGTTGACTGCAAACGTGCAGACATGACCTGGTGGGTAGATCCATCAGCCAAACCTCTGTCACAGGACAGTAGAAGAGGCCAGTGGCTGATTTTTAAACCTTTGCAGATAAGATAACTGGATAAGATCGGCTGATGACAGATCTCTCGAAATTAAGGGAATCGGCACAGATAAATCAGGTATCTGATAAATCGGTGCACAAGCAAGTTCAGAGCGCTTTCAACAGTATCGTTGCTAAAATGTGCTACTTTATCTGAGTTTATAGACTGCATTGAATTGTTGTTGATTTGGGGGAGAAACAAAGGTAATTTGTGGGTTTAGTTTCTGCCCACAGGATGCCAGTTAGTGAAAGACACCCGTCTGCCAAACACACTTTGAGAAACTCTTGAGCCTGAGCGACTCACTGATTGGTCTGGGAGCCTCACATCAAAGTGTGATATATAATCACCACCACAGACTATTTAAAATAAATACATAAAGTGTGGACATTTTAATCAGACTGGTGTTAACGACCCAACTTCAACACATCAGGACCAAATTAGCTGATCATTCAGTCACACGTGCTCCAGCTTTGATGAAACTTTGCAGCTCCATCCGGTTCCTGCTGGGAGCTTTAAAAGCAGCAGACAGGACAATAAATACATATACAAAACTATTACACAGTAATATGAGGTTTTTTATCTGGGGATTAAGAAAAGCAAAGCTTTTTAAAGCACGTATTTCATTACTATTACTATTATTATCCTTTATAAATGACTGTTTTGGTAATCGGTGTTTGGGCAGAACATGAACTTTGAGAGTAAACTCCTGATTAGAAATAATGTGTTCATATCTTTCAAGCGTCTTTCTTCCTGTTCTGAGTAGTGCGCATCTGCTGGGATCAAAGGTGTAAAATTCACAGTGTTCACTGTGTCAAGCACCGATAATCTTAAGTTCAGTGTCGATACAGTGCGTTTTTTAAGCATTTAAGTATTTGCTGCGTTCTTTCTGCAGCAGCGGCGCAATAAGTGCGATTCGCATGGCGTGTGAGCGCTGTGGGGCTTTTTCTTCTCTGACTAGTTTAAAAGAAATCAGTGGCAGGCTTGTTTGTGTGGTGATGGAAGTGTGTATGCTGCACTGTTGAATGTGCTGCAAGGTGATGTAGAAGTGTTATTTTCCCCATCATTGTGTTTCTACAATGTTAAAAGAAAAGGCAAATAGGCAACAACGTGACTGAGGCAGAAAAAGGCTTTCTGAAAAAAAAAAAAAACACACAGGAGAACGCGAGGTAAAGCAAAAGAACAACTAACAAAACACAACTAAATGTAAATAATCAAAAACCCCTGAAGTAATAACATGTCCCTGGGAAACAGGAAGTGATGGATTACTGATCAAAAGTTCATCATCGCTTAAATAATCACTTAAATTCGGAAAATGTTCATTTATGTTAACTTTAATGGGGCTGTTAGCTGCAGTGCTAATCAAAAAAAAAAAGCAATATATGTTTCCACTTTGTTCTACAGCTGAGTAAATTAACGGTTGGAATTTGAAAGTGTCTTTATTGCACCAAAATAGAAAAGCTAATTTATTTGATGGCATTCACACTTCAGGGGTGCCAACGATAGCAGAGTGAAACATGTTTCCAAGATTCCAGCAAATCTTCAACATGACTTTTCCTCCTCAGAGAAAATGATCCCTCCGTCTTTCTTCGTCTTCTCTGATCCTTCTTTCTAATATTTGTTTTACAATCTTCCAACATCTTTTCTATAGATTCTGGTCAGAGTTGTGTGTTAATCCATGACAGCGTTTCTCAGGAATTCAAGAAACACATCTACTGAGTAATATTTGGCTGAAATTGTTTGGAGAGGTTTGCTCTTATAAGGGAAGTAAATCTCCACAGTATGAGAATATAGAGAAGGTCGGAGCAGCAGAGTGTCGGGCTGCAGGACGCATTTCTCAGCGAAACACAAACCGAAGCAAAAAAACAAAGGACAAAAATAATTCGGTGGAGAGGAAGGGACAGTAAGACGAAGCACATTAGTGCACAGTTCACCAACTTTGCAGGGCCTCAGGATACAAGCAAAACTACGCCTTTTATATTAAATTCTTTTAACGCACAAGTCATTTTTTTTCTCTGTATCGGTGGAGAATATTTCTGACGTCGTTTGGTTTATCGAAGCTCTCATTTCTGCAGGAGAAACGCCAAAAGCAGTACTGTCAAAGCCTGATCCTCACCTTCTGCGGATATTGACATCATACTGTGAGAAATCTGTTTAGGACATTTCTCATCTTTCTCACTCCACCTTATTGACATCTTGAGGTTGGGATTATTAGCCAAAGACAAAAAAAAAACAAAAAAAACAAACTATCAAATCCTAGTTCACATTTTGAACCTTCCAATAAAAATAATTAAATTGTGAAAAAGAATTGTGCAACGTCCCAACATCTGTAAATCCAAATGAATCTGGCTGTGTCACCTTATAAGAGAACCTCAAGTTATAAGAATTAATGTTATAAGCTCTTATAACATTGTAAAAGCCACAATAAAAAAATTGAAGTGCATATTTTTAGAGGAGGAAGGCAGACACATGCATGAACATGTGCAAATGAATGCCCTTTAAAACATTCTCAGTAGCTGGATTTCCAGCTAATGGCCGATAGTGATGATGAAAACACCACTATAATTTACAACAGGAGTTAAAACAATTTCCTTTTAAAATGTGTATCATTACCATTAACCAAAAAAACATAAAAAAAAATTTTTCAAGCACGCGCGCGTAAACGAGCTATTTCATGTGTAATTTTAGTTGCATTTGTTGTTTAATGAAAACAGCGCAATTGCGAAAATTTTATTTATCTATTTAAAAAAAAAAAAAAGCATTAGCAGAATATCAATGATTGAGTTATCAATGGTTACCAACGGGCATGCAGGCCCAAAAGTTGCAGGGGAAAAAAATCCAACTGAATGTTGTAATTATCATTGCAAAGAAATTTTTTTAAATACAACCATATTTATTTACAATGTAGTACTCCAAGTAAAACTAAAGTTTTTTTGGGTTTTTTAAAAGAAAAAAAAATAACATCATAAAGTTCGAGTAATCCTCTAATTTAATCAGGCTTCAATGAATGAGCTTAAAACAAGGACTGTAAAAACAAAATACACATTCAAATCCATATTTGGATTATGTAAAAAAAAAAAAAAAAAAAAAAAAAGCTCACATAATCCAGTTTTCATAGTTAAAAAATTAAAACTAAAACAAAATAAGGAAAATAATTCCTTATCTGCTCACCCCTTTGCAGATGGAGACGGCTTCTTTGGACATGGACTTTGGGTAGGAGACGTTGTGCTCCATGATGGACTGGAACAGTTCGTCTTCATCCTCCCCATCAAACGGAGGCTGTGGGTGGAAGGACACCATGTTCAGAACGTCAGCGCTTCGTCCATCATCACAAGGTTTACAAGTACGTTCAAACGGCAACATCACGGATCGCCTCTGCAGACGCAGCGAGGCTTTTCTACTTTATTCTCTCTGCATTGACCATTTCTGTTAAAAATACACATGAAGCGAGATTTAAAAGGAGACACATTTTCATGTGAACAAAAGAGGAAAAACATCCAGAAACGGCGGATGTGAAACATTTGATCATGTTTCCCAGGAAGACCTTTGTAAGGTCAGTGAAGTGGATGACCCAGCTTCTCCCCTGCTTGCTGGCTCGTTATCATCAGTTACCACAATATGGCTGCGCTGACAGTCCAGAAAATGAATTATTCGTCATTTCCACACCAGCGGCCCTCATCGACTGGAGGTAGCCTGTCTGCATGGATATATATGTCCTCCTGCCTTTTTCCTTTAATATCATCAGTCTACCGGATATTCCTTTAGCACCGCTCTGACAGAACAGTAGATAAATTAGTGATGTTGTGTTATTTCACATGTTTAGTTTATCAAACTCGAAAAGGTCACAGCGTTTGTGCGAACTTGTCAAGGTCGTTCAGATGTCGGTCGTTTCCACATTTGACTATTAATAACAGAATGAAGAGACAGGGACAAGTTAATGTGTCTGGAGGGAAGCTGGTGTGCACTAAACTGTGCAGAAAGCTAAATATCACTTTACACAAATGTCACAAAATAAAAATAGAGGGTTTGTTCCATTTGAATCCAGTAAGTGTGCAGAACACAGAAAAGAAATCTGAACATTTTATTGTAGTACACCCAAAATGCTTCTTCATACGCTTGTGCGCTTTTGTTATAGATTAGTAAAAGTATTACTAACCTCACTATTTTAAATGATTTAAACTCCAAGGAGAACAATGTGAAGCAGGAGAAAAATCACATATGCTTTTTATGTACTTTTTATTTTTTTATTGTATTAATTGTTTTTTTTTTAATGTAATTTGGACTTTGAGTCACAAATATTCATAAATGTTGTTATAGAACATATAATTCTAATGGAATAAATTAAAGTGATTGTATCTTCTTTTTTTTTAGTTAGTTTACTGGGGGGAACCACTCACCTGTCCTGCCAGCATTTCGTAAAGCAGAACTCCATACGCCCACCAGTCTACAGAGCGTCCATACGGCTGATACGAAATGATCTGGCGAGGAGAGAGAGAAAAAAGAAAAGGCAAATTTCAGCTTAGCACAGCTCAAACAAGCAGAACAACGTCACGTTTCCCCTCTGAGTGAGGAGAATGTGAGTGTGGGTGCAGGTTTTCACGACGGTGACAATCTCCTGCAAACATTTTGATTCAGACAGACAGGATCCCGGCGGAGCTGCTTAATATTCAGAGTGAGATTTTAATCCTTTTAGGCTTGAGAGATTATGAAATCTGTCAGTGCTAGAGACTGAAAGAATATCATAAATGCTGAAGTTTTAATTTTGAAAAATACACATTTTGTGCTTTTAAATGTTTCTATTTACGCTTTATGACGATGGAAAACAGCTTCCTGAGCATAAAAAAAGAAATAATCAAAAGCAACAGAGACATTTGCCAGCTTTAGAAAGCAAGATACTTGAGTCACATCAGACCTGCAACTATCAAATACTTTATTATTTAGTTGAATTACAAATTAAACCATCCATTTTACCGCAATCTGAAAGTACATGAAATACCAAAAAAAGTGTGTAATATAAGAAAACTATGATGGCTCTCCTGAAAAAAAAAACCTTTATAAGGATTTTCTCATGTAAATTTACAGAAGGGCATTTTCAGTAAACTTCTTTAATAAAGTCATGTCTTACTGTGGCAACTATGAAATAACAATACAACACAATATGACACATTTTCAACATTTTAATTTACTAGAGAGGAAACACAAATTCCTAGAGAAACATTAGAAGTTATGACAACTATAAAACAGATGAACATATTAAACCAGTTTAAAAAAAAAACAATTTAAAATGATTGTCTTTCTTTCCGACTGATGTTAGATGAGACTAAATGTTTCCTGTTGCAGCAAAATCAAAACACATTAACAGGTTGCCCTGGTTCTCCTGGGCTTTCTAGACAGAGTTCAATGGCGGACTAATCTCGGCTGGTGAAAACTTCGGACTTGCTCCCGTTATTCTGGTATGTCACAAATGCGAAGAGCTTTACTGTTCCTATTTGAGGTCAAAAAAAAAGTTGGCATGAGCAAAACGTAGATTTTCTTCGGGATCCCGATCCGTGGAGGAACGTCTGACTTTTTAACGCAATTTCCAGTTGAAACATTAAATATAAACACCAGTAAAAGGAACACAGGAGGATTAAAATCCAGCTTAGATGATTAAAAAGTGGCAAATAGCTGCACTGTCCATTTATCTTAGTAAATTTGATGAAAACTGGTGGCATACAGAATAAAGGTGTGATTGCACTGAAGTCGCTAGTGATAAACAATGGATGATTCCTCACCACCTATGACTTTAACATGTTCCCGCCGTATGTTAGTGTGAATAATTCCCACATAATTTGCGTGTGGGAGTTCTTCAGTTCTTTAGCCAGCTGATCATTTTTCACAGCTTGACTTTGTCTCTTTATTATATGATGCTTGATGTGAAGACGGCACAACCAGCTAATGGATCCCAGGAAGCTGCTCTCCCTGCAGACATGCTCCGTGTCGACACACAGAGCATGTGGGTCGCTCTGACACTCGCTGAGGTTACTGCTCTCGTCCGGCGAACTTCATTCACCGCACTCTGAGAACACATAACGTATTTGCGCTTCCCGACTGTTTACATATCACAGAAATAAAAAAGCGGCTGCATCCACAAGACGTGGACAGTGACCTCGCGCATCAAAGAATGCCACGCTTTGCCATCCAAAAATATTCATATTCTTTCAGACTATTCCTTTGTCGGCGCGTCGCGGCCGCAAAACGTCGGCCGCAAAACGTCGGCGCAATTTCTAATGAGGATTTTATGCGATCGGTCAATAGAGAGCGGCTAACGTTTTAAATATTTTGAATTAGGATTTCGGCAACATTTTTGCTGCTCAGGCCTAAAATGTTTAAGAAACATCTGTCAGTGTGTGAAAAAATATGGCCGTCAAGACTGACGAGAACAAACCATCGCTGTAAAAAAGGCCATAAGAAGTCCAATTCGCAGTTTGTCACAAGGCAATGTAAGATAAACATGCAATTCAAGGTGCTTTAGTGAAATGAAACCAAAATAAAATGTCTTAACGTAAAACCCTTTCCATGTCCTGTGGAGCTCATCTGAACAATCGATTCCAACTCAAGTCTGTTAACATCATGCTACGGGAAGGCCTTTCTTCTGTAGGGAAGCTGGTCACAGTTGATTTGATCGGCCCAGTCAAAGTCCACACCTAAACCCAATTACCTGCAACACTGCCCTTTAGAGTCGTTCTCCTTTCAATCTGACAGAACTTCAGCTCCTCTCGAAACAGGACAGTCTCTGTAGATGTACAAAAACTGGTTCCTTTCATTCAACAATTACCTTCTATTGGCTGAACTCATAAAATGTTAATAAGATACATGAAGGTTTGAGGATGTAAAAAAGTACAAGAGGTACAAATGCTTTTGCTGGTCACTTTAAAACATGAGATGTTGCTGCACCCATGCACACACACATATGCAGACACACACACACACAAAAACAATCCACTGAGATACAAGCGCCATACATCTCCTCAGGCCCTATTCAGAGTCAGGACCGATGACCTCTGCTGCACGCGAACCTACCCTGAGGAACTCCTGAGGGATTTATAGCACAACATTTAGCCACAACTGGCAGCAGAGATGAATAAAAAACCACATAAACTCAGACATGACGCATATATGTGGACAGAAAGCGAGAGTTGTGTGGAAGCAGATCTACTCTGGGAATCACAACCTTCACTGCGTCACACTGAACCACTGCCTTTCCCTGCAGGAACACAAAGCAGACACAAATAAAGGCAGGTGGGGAAACGCTCCTCCGGCCCTGATGCTCTCCTGAGGGCTGATGGGAAACAGCTGGGCGCATAGCAGACGGATCCACATGCTCATGAACCAACATGTTATTTTCAATACAAGAGCACGTAGAAGTATCAGAGGGCAAAGATTCTGTTTCATCACGAACGGCTTGATTTCTCTTGTGATTTTCTATAAAGTTAAATCTTTTCCCAGTGGAGATGAGTCAGTGCGTCTCCTGCTATTTACGTTTTCACATATGTTCATATTACAACAACCATTAATGCATCTTGTTGTGATTTTTTTGTGTTAAACCAACACAAAGTATAATTGTGAAGTTTGTGAACGTGCGTTGTTTTCAGAGGAATTTAGAGCCGGACTTTGACAGCACCATTCTTATGATCTGGTTTTGATCTAAGCCATTTCTATGGAGTCCCTCCAGGATTTTGTGAGAGTTTTGGTTTCTCGTCACATCAATCACAGACAACTTGACATCATGTTAGGTTAAAGCAGCAGTGGAGTAGAAATAAGAGATACTGCCACCTACTTCGGGTTTCGAAAGTAGCACCACAAAATCCTGAATCAACCCAAATATTCTGACCATTTTTGTGGAAAGTCTGCAAAAAAATTTAAGAATTTCCCAAACAATTCTGCATTGGCTCTAAAAATGTGGGAATCTCTTCATTTTATGTGAATCTCCGAGGTCACGGAATTGCGAAAAACCAGAAGAACCGTCTGATGTAATTCTGGCTTCATGTTCAGGGTTTGTGTCTTTCTAACAGCAATTACTATTATTATTAAAACTACAGCCAGACTACACTTCTAAAACGCCATAGAAAACCAACGCCATCGTTCACAACTTCTCTTTCTGTTCACTGATTGGCTGGTTTAAAAAAACAAAAATGACTGGAGATGATCCAAGTCAAGGGAAGAAAGCCCAGACTCTGCTGGAAATGAGAATTTCATTTTAGAAGAATTGCATGTTCATCAAAAAAAAAAAAATAAATAAATAAATAAAATAAAAAAGCCCAAAAAACATACAAACTACCTTTTTTGCAAGCTCTCAAATGTTCAACAAAATTTGCCAGTGTGCTGCAAATTTCAAACGGAGGATTTCAATCAGACAGGCGATAGACGGCTGCTTCTGACTGAGGAGCGTGATGAGCTGTGACACAGCGGAAAGCTAACAATTTTTAAGAGGGGGAAAGGAAACTGAATAATCATCTCTTTTTGTCTCAGTTATTCCTGGGCCGCGTGGTAAACAAGTTCATGTTTAATGTCTTGTCTCTGCTCATTCTCAACGGCAGAATTTGATTTGTGAAGTTCACTGCGAAGCACAGCCATCTGTCCTTCCCCCTCTCAGCCGACAGCCTGATGCTGCACGGAGGTCGATGCGCCGCTCGCGTCCAACTGGGCGGCTGCTGGCGTATGGCGGCAGGACAGCAGCTAATGATGCTGCCAGCGTTTTGTGTGCATGAATAAAAGTGTTAAAAACCAAATTAAATTTAAAAGAGTTCAACAGGAGGTTGAGATTGTGTGGTTTTATTTGAGAAAATGGTATGAATAATTAAATCACATATGGGAAACATATATTTTTTTATCCTGTTACCTCTTTATGTTTTATTTACAATATTGCCCTGAGTGATTGAAATTGCTGTGGAAAACAGGCTAAATGTCAGCGCTGTGAAGGCCCAAAGGGACGGAGTTCAAAAACTTCAGAGGGACAGGAGGGGCAATACGAGAGGTAAATAATTAATAACCGGTAAAGTGGATTCCCACTGAGCTCATCTCTTCCAGTGATTTCTATCGGACAGATTGGCTGGAGTCGTGCACTATTTATTCCCCCATTTATTTTTATTTATTTCCTCCAATAGCAAAATTGTTCACAAAACTGGTTTGGGAATTTGATTTGTGAATATACGCGTTTGTCTGTGCGGCAGCTCGAAATGTTTTTGGCTGAAGGTGTGATTTAGTTTTTCAAAAGCTTTAAAAAAAAAAAAAGTGACATTTTTGGAGGCGTTCAAAAACTTCCACTCTGGCGGTTTTGTTACCAGCTAAGGAAAAGACTTTCATCTTTAATTATTACATGAAACTGTAATTTTAAAAGATTTGCTACAAGGAAAGGTGAAAACCAGTGGGAACTTGATGGCTAAACTCAGTTTTCTTATTTATGTTTTGTTGAGCCTAAATCCTCGGCTGCCTTCGG